TAATAAAGGACTTAATAGCACGATATTGGCAAGCATGGTGCAGGCGGACGGAGCAATAGTTAAGTGGGATGAAGCGAAGATCATAAGAACGGTGCACTCACCGTCTATAGCGATGGAAATGGAAAAAATAGAGATATACAAAAGTAAAATGAGGAACCGATGTTTAAATGAAAAGGATGCAAATACATTACCAACAGCATGGAAATACAAAATACAAAAATGTATGGGTTTCAATAATCCATAAAGTGGGAACTGGGGTTTATAAGAAGGTATTATTTTATAAATTTAGACGCATGTAAAAATATGTTATTTAATGTTTGTAACGCGTATAAGGACATATTTATTTTACTTATTTTATTTTATTTATTTACTTTATTTTGTTTATTTATGTAATATACAAAAAGTTGTTAACTTATTTCAAAAATTCAAATCAAAATGAAATTCGAACGAATGGTTCCAATTTGGAACGATAAAGAAAAGCCTGAGGATGGCCTATCCTAATAGGCCGAAAACGTTTGAATAAAGAGAAAAAAACTCGGCAAGTAGAATTCAGGTGTGTTCATATTTATATTTAACATTGCTGAGAAGGAGAGAGATAGTACTTTTAGTAATTACTTTTCCGGCTGTTATATATAACAGAGGAAAACTTATGGCGATTGGTCAAGAAATGACTCTTTCAAGATTTTTAATTTTGGACTCAGGTTTTTAAAACTTCGAGAAATACAAATAATTTTTTCACCCTGTTTGAAGCTTAATAACTCTAGTGCCTATTGTTGAAAGTTTCTAAAATTTTGCAGTGAGGTTTGTGCATTACGGGGATTAAAAGTGCTAAATTTTGACGGTTACAGGAAGTGAAGAGATAAACGGACATCGTGTCATATCTCGAGTAGGGTCACACTTAAATGACGATTTTACTCGTAATTAGCATTTCCAATATTTTATAATACATAGCCTACTCTCAAAATTAAGTTATTTGTCATTTTATAACAAGTTAGTACATATAAATGTTTTATTGTTAAAGCTGAATTATAATTACCATAAACATCGATCAATACCCGAGAGAGGTAATTAGCTCACCATTGTGGTTCTTTAAACATCACTGTCGGTAGCTTCAGTTCCACACTGGAACGGAGGGAGGGGGTTATTACAAGTCGGACAAAGTCGAACGAAAAGAAAGGGGTTGAACTTTAATGGAGGTTCGTTTTATTTCATTAAATTTTATTCAGTTTATGCGTTTTTTTTTATTCTTGTTTATTATTATTCATACAGTGAGAAAAGTTTTGCGAAGATTTGAGTTTTGTTCAACGTTCAAAGAGGAGTACGGAAACTTGGAAAAACTGGGTGGGACAATGAGGGAGAGGAAGTAAAAAATTGAAGAAAATTCGGAAGTAATTTGTGNTCAAAATTAAGTTATTTGCCATTTTATAATAAGTTAGTACATGTAAATGTTTCATTCTTAAAGCCGAATTATAATTATCATAAACTTCGATCAGTACCCGAGAGAGGTAATTCGCTTATCATTGTGGTTCTTTAAACATGACTGTCGGTAGCTTTAGGTCCACACTGGAACGGAATGAAGGGGGTTATTACAAGTCGGACAAAGTCGAACGAAAAGAAAGGGGTTGAACTTTAATGGAGGTTCGTTTTGTTTCATTAAATGTTATTCAGTTTATGCGTTTTTTTATTCTTTTGTATTATTATTCATACAGTGAGAAAAGTTTTGCGAAGATTTGAGTTTTGTTCGACGATCAAAGAGGGGTACGGAAACTTGGACAAACTGAGTGGGACAATGAGGGAGAGGAAGTAAAAAATTGAAGAAAATGCGGAAGTAATTTGTGCACAGCTCCTTTTATGAGGTCCGGCCCGGGCTCTATAAACCACGAGGCGCAAGTGGGGTCTAACTATAAAACTTCACTCTTCACTAACAGCTATATAAAAATGGCCCAGTTATGATTGCAAATGGAAGTACTTGTTACAAATAGTTACAAATAGTAAATCTATGATATAAAAATTAGAGGCCCTGAAAACTTTGTACGGTGTTCTGAAGTCTGGCAACTAGAGTTATTAGTTATTAGTTATACTTTATTCAAATACTGATATTCGCTTCACTGATTACGCCCCTTGGGGAGTGCGCCTCTAATAACAATTTTAGGCAATTCTACATAACAGTGGCAATGGAACAGATCACATTTATTTTAATTTAAAATTTAGTTACACAAAAAGATTGAATATTTCAATATCTTGTTTGATTGTCTTTTCTTTCCAGCCCAGTTTTCAATCCGTTAGGCAGAG